GTAAGGGTCCCCCCCAGGGCTAGTGTCCCTCCACTCCCTGTCCGTTGTGGCAGTTCTCGGGAACGGAAGCAGAGAGAAGTCTAAAAAGGGCAAATATCGAAGAGAAAGATGGTGTTTGATCCATTCAAATCGCCTGGGCTTTGTAGCTCGCGTTGCTCATAGTTATTTACGATACGAATATTTCCAAATTGCGGGCATCGCGGGAGACGAGAATGCGAATCAGAGGGACTTGGAGGTTAGGCAGATCTCGAGGTTTTACTCTTCCTCGTTTTGTTTGCGAAGCCTGTCTGGAGTTTTGTTTGCGAAGCCTGTCTGGAGGCGTCGCTAAAGGGCAAGCAGCTTGCCGTCACTTCAGAGCGAGTGCAAACAGGCGCAAGAAGCGACCCTCTGTCCCACCTCTCCGGCCAGGCACCACGTGCGTGTGCGAGCCAGCGATGACGCGCTCCGCTCGGCCCCATGTCAGTGCCTCTTCTGTTGCCCCCCCCCCCCCCGGGCACGGCCCTCGCGTCGCTGGCACTTAAGGCTGCCCTCGGGCTATGCGCCCTTACGTCGCCTTGCATACCATAGCTGTCAGACTGGATTTAAATGAAATCCCAAGTCAGTCGCTGAGAGATACAAATGATATTCTGAAACTTGTAAGTGTGCGAGCCCATCGCTATCGAGGCAGAGTGGTCGTTGTGGGACCCAATCGGAGGCGGTCCCAACGGGGGGAAGGTTGGGGCTCACAGGTCATCGAAGGCAACGCAAACACTCTGCGACTGAGGCAGTACCCGTCTGTTTTCCTCGGAGGCGAAGTACGTGACTGAGGTGAAGTGTTTTCATTTGGCAAGTGATGCCGATTGATGGGTTACTCGCGTAGACGTCACTCGTTCTCTAAACGGCACTCTTTGGCTTGCGTTCGTTGCTGTTCTAGCCTCATTCACTCGCCAAAAGATATCAACTTCTAAGCTTACTCCCTTGCCAGTCATTGCCTGTGCTAATAATGTCATATATTTGCGTATAAGGTAATTTCGAAGAGTGAATGCAAATGCGAGTCTTTATTATTGTTTTGAGGAATATAACACGGCCCTGTGAATCATAATTATTTGTTTATTATCCGATTAACTTTGCTTACATTTGCTTCACGTGACCAACCTAGCATCATCGCCGTTCGCCGCCGAATATAAAAAAACGTGCCTCGCCAAGAAAACACTTTATAAACATCTTTTAAAACCCAGTGTCGCCCCAACGAAAACGTCATTAGAACGGCGGATTAGGCAGCCACTGGGATGGTAGAGGGGAGGGGAGAGGGGCTCCCGTGGGGTTCATTGGAGCACGTGATTGTGATAAGCAAATTACGGGCCCCATCAGGGCCGGTGTCGCTCGGGAGGACCAGGAGGCGAGGGTCGAGGGCGAAGTCGGTCGCGCTGGGACGGAGTCTCTGAGGGATGGGGTGAGGGGAGGGAGGGAGGGAGGGAGGGAGCGGGCAGGAAGGAGAGGGAAGAAGTAGGAGGAGGAGATTGAGAGATTTGGGACTGATTTTTTTTCTTTTGGTTTTAGAATGTATTACAAACTGCATAGGTTATGGAAATCTACAGATCAGGTTCCTGAATTTTAATCAAATCATCTTGAAGAACCTGTTCCAACGTTATGGTCAGTATGAATAATTTAGGCTAATAGCGAATAGAACCCAGAAAGGGTGAAATAGCACTGATTTGCCTCATATTAGGTACAATTATTGATTACTGTTTTATGGATTTTTGTAAGCTGTATAGGTATCTGTTAATTACAGTCCGCTGAGTGAATCATATTTTTGAAACGTCGGATCTGAGTTGGAGACTGAGCGGCATTTGTGCATTTTGGGAGCTTTAGTGTTACACACTGGTGCGTGTAATAGGATTTTTTTTTAATTACTTGAAAAAATAACCAGCGTAGTCAGTCAGATTTTTAATCGATTCACAAATAAACGTGGCTTTGTGGATGGAATTCTGTCAGGTAACGAGTTTGCGGAACAAGTTGGTGTGCTCACGGAACTTTACAGCCGTGGCTATGCTAACAGCACGCTTTTTATAGCAATAGGCCGATTAAGGGACTCTTTGCAGGCGCCGTCCCTCGCTGACAAACATTATATCAAACTATGGTAACTGGAAAATAAGGAATTAAGACCAGATATCAAGGAGGTTCCGCATCAGCTTTGTTTTTCCACAGAGTTTCGCTGTTTTGAATGTGGTGCTTCCCACCACAGACAGGACGTCTTCCTCTATCTAAAAGGGTGGGAAACGATATATAAGTTTAAAGAAAATATCTTTGTAATATAATGTAATTCGTCTTCTTTAAGTTTAGAGTTAAATTCTTTGCAGATAGCCAGTCTGCAACTATTTGTAGCTCCGTATCCATCGTGTCGATTAAATGACATGTTTGTATCAGAGAGGAAGAGTGCAGTATTTTCTGTAAACATTATATATCGTAAGAGATGCTTAGTTTGACATATATCATTTATGCATGTACCCATGGGACCAGGGATGTGCGTTACTTTGACCTCCGTAATTGTGCAAATTGCAGAGCATGACGTGATCCACCGTGCCAAATGCCTTCTACGGATCATGAAAGACACTTCGGGTACACATGTCTCTGTCAAAGGCCTTTAAAACGTGACTTGTGAGAGAGAGGAGAGCTGTCTCGGTTGATCGGCCGGGCCTAAGTCCACTCTAAGTTAGCACGACTTTTTCGGCCAATGAAACTTAATATAAGCAAGTATATCCAGCAGTGTGCCGATGGGTGTGTATGCTGACACTGGACGGCAATGGGAAAGCATGTCCCGTGTCCCTCATGCCTAGGCGTGACTCGAGGTTTTTAGTTGGTCGCGGGAGAACACCGGAAGAATGGAGAGGTTAGGGCAGGAGAGCGTGATGGTGCTGCTCTCTTGATCGGCGTCTTTGGGCAGAGCGCGTAGCTGTCGAAACCTTATTTACTGCGTTAGGGATGAAGGTAAAAAAAAATATTGTCAGGTAAGCAAAAAATGAAAAGATGGAGCTGTGGTGGTGTTTGAGAAACATTTCCTATTATTTATAAGTGATAAGTGCAGGAATTAATTCGACATGCTTGTGAAATTCGCGTATTTTTCATTCCTCTTTGTACCTTCCGTTTATTCTTGACTATACTGTTCTTGCTTTTCTCATTTATATTATTAAGCGGTACCTTATTTTGCACCGGCCTATAGAATTCGCCGATTTTTTCACATGCATCCTATACCATTTGTGTCGTTCTTTAATTATATATTTTTATTTCATTCTGATAATGCGGCTTTCTCTGATGTTGCTCTTTTACGCATTTCTATTTAACGGTAAACTTCCGAGAAAAATGTCTAACAGCAGAGAGAGTTGTCACGTCGCCGTTGTCATATTCGCGTCCAATTTGCACGTTTGACTTCGTCCATAAAGTTGTCGATATTGACCTGTCTGTATATTCTGTATGCCTTGACAACGGTGTTATTAGTTGCGGGTTTGTTTCCACTGACTGGAGAAATTATGGAAAGAGGAGGAAGGAGAAGAAGAAAAATACGGAGGAGAGTGCAGAAGGAGGGAGGGAGGAATGGAGGTAGGGTGCGAAAAAGGAGAAAGAGAGGAAGGGAGAGGGAGAGAGGGAAGGGAGAAGGACAGGATGGGAGGCAGGGAGAATGAATAAATGGAGAGGGGAGGAGAAAGAGAAGGGGAGATGGAAATAAAGAAGAGGAGAGAGGTAGAGGGAAGAGAAAAGGAGGAAGGGTGAAACGAGGAAAGAAAGGGAGAGAGAGGGCGTGATATATGGAGAGAAGGAGAGGGAGAAGGAGAAATAGAGAAGGGGGAGAGAGAGAGAGGGAGGAAAAAATATACATATATATATAGAGAGAGAGACAGACAGAGAGAGAGAGAGAGAGAGAGAGAGAGAGAGAGAGAGAGAGAGAGAGAGAGAGAGAGAGAGAGAGAGAGAGAGAGAGAGAGAGAGAGAAAGAGAGAGAGAGAGAGAAGGCCCACGGCTGATGCGAGTGTGTTCCGGGCAGAGGCAATTTCATGTTTATTTACGCTCATGATGAACTACCGCGCGCGGGGGAGCAGGGGGGGGGGGGGTAGGCTCCGTCGCCGCGCTAAGCGACGGTGACTTAGAGCCGAGGGTTTTGAAGGAGGGGAAAGGCAAACGAGTGAGGCGTCACAAGTGGCAAAAGAATACGTAGGCACAAAGGGGAGGTGGAGGAAGCGTGTAAGGAAGGGAGAGCAGGTTGACGAAGAAGGACAAGGTGAGGGAGAAGTTGAGGAAGAAGGAGGAGAAAGAAAGAGAAGGAAGGGAAAATAAAGGAGGAGGAGGAGGAGGAGAAAAAGGAAAGGAAAAACAAGGCGGAGTAGAAGTAGAAGAAGAAGAAGAAGGGAGAATAAGAAGAATGAGGAAAACTACCGTAAATAAAGGAAAGAAGGAAAAAAAACAGAAATAGAACAAGATGAAAAAAACAAGAAGGTGAAGGGAAAAAAGGTACAAAGGTAACGAAGGAGCGTTTGGCGGGTATAAACAACCTGGATCCTGAATACATAAACGCGAGGCAGCGACTGTCTCTCGCCGCTTTGTCTCGCTCTCGCTCGCTCGCTCGCTCGCTCGCGGGCTCCTCCTCGCACTCCTCGCCGGCCGGGCGGAGGGCGAGGTGCTGCGGATGCTTCCTTTGCCCTTTCTCTTTTTCTTTCTGGCTCTGGCTTGCGCTCTCTCTCTGTCTCTCTGTCTTTCGCTCTCTCTGTCTCTCTGTCTTTCGCTCTCTCTGTCTCTCTGTCTTTCGCTCTCTCTGTCTCTCTGTCTTTCGCTCTCTCTGTCTCTCTGTCTTTCGCTCTCTCTGTCTCTTTGTCTTTCGCTCTCTCTGTCTCTCTGTCTTTCGCTCTCTCTCTCTCTCTCTCTCTCTCTCTCTCTCTCTCTCTCTCTCTCTCTCCTCTCTCTCTCTCTCTCTCTCTCTCTCTCTCTCTCTCTCTCTCTCTTTCGCTCTCTCTCTCTCTCTCTGTCTTTCG